AATGAACAGTGCAAAGAAATAGAAGAAAACAACAGAATAGGGAGGACCAGAGATCTCTTCAAGAAAATTGGAGATATGAAGGGAACGTTTCATGCAAAGATGGGCATGATAAAGGACCAAAATGGCAGAGACCTAACAGAGGCAGAAGAGATTAAGAAGAGATGGCAAAACTACACAGAAGAACTATACAAGAATGAGCTTAACATCCCAGATAACCACAATGAGATGGTCACTGACCTCGAACCAGACATCCTAGAATGTGAAGTGAAATGGGCCTTAGAAAATCTGAGCAACAACAAAGCTAGTGGAGGTGACAGTATTCCAGCTGAGCTATTCAAAATCTTAAAAGACGATGCAGTAAAAGTGCTACACTCAATTTGCCAGCAAATTTGGAAAACTCAACAGTGGCCACAGGATTGGAAAAGGTCAGTTTACATTCCAATTCCAAAGAAAGGCAATGCCAAAGAATGTTCAAACTATCGCACCATTGCACTCATTTCACATGCTAGTAAAGTTATGCTTAAAATCCTACAAGCTAGACTCCAGCAGTATGTGGATCGAGAATTACCAGAAGTACAGGCAGGATTTCGAAGAGGCAGAGGAACTAGAGATCAAATTGCCAACATACGCTGGATCATGGAGAAAGCTAGGGAGTTCCAGAAAAACATCTACTTCTGCTTCATTGACTATGCTAAAGCCTTTGATTGTGTGGATCACAACAAATTGTGGCAAGTTCTTAAAGAGATGGGAATACCAGACCATCTTATTTGTCTCTTGAGAAACCTATATGTGGGTCAAGAAGCAACAGTGAGAACTGGACACGGAACCACTGATTGGTTCAAAATTGGAAAAGGAGTCCGGCAAGGCTGTATACTGTCGCCCTGCCTATTTAACTTATATGCAGAGCACATCATGAGAAAGGCAGGGCTAGATGAATCAAAAGTTGGAATTAAGATTGCCGGGAGAAATATCAACAACCTAAGATATGCAGATGATACCACTCTAATGGCAGAAAGTGAAGAGGAACTAAAGAGCCTCTTGATGCGGGTGAAGAAGGAGAGTGCAAAAGTTGGCTTGAAACTCAACATTAAGAAAACCAAAATCATGGCATCCGGCCCTCTCAATTCCTGGCAAATAGATGGGGAAGAAATGGAGGTAGTGACAGATTTTATTTTTCTGGGCTCCAAGATCACCTCAGATGGGGACTGCAGCCAAGAAATTAAAAGACGCTTGCTCTTGGGGAGGAAAGCTATGGCAAATCTAGACAGCATACTAAAAAGCAGAGACATCACCCTGCCAACAAAAGTGCGTATAGTCCAGGCCATGGTTTTCCCAGTTGCAATGTATGGCTGTGAAAGTTGGACCATAAGAAAGGCTGAGCGCCAAAGAATGGAGGCCTTTGGACTATGGTGCTGGAGAAGACTCCTGCGAGTCCCTTGGACTGCAAGACGTTCAAACCGGTCAGTCCTAGAGGAGATCAACCCCGACTGCTCTTTAGAAGGCCAGATCCTGAAGTTGAAACTCAAATACTTTGGCCACCTAATGAGAAGGAAGGACTCACTGGAGAAGCGCCTAATGCTGGGAAAGATGGAGGGCAATAGAAGAAGGGGACGACAGAGAATGAGATGACTGGATGGAGTCACTGAAGCAGTAGGTGTGAATTTAAATGGACTCCAGAAGATGATAGAGGACAGGAAGACCTGGAGGAACGTTGTCCATGGGGTCGCAATGGGTCAGACACGACTTCGCAATTAACAACAACGTCCTTCTTACCCTCCTGTCCCCCAGACCCCAACTTCCACAATTCCTTGCCTGCCTCCAGGACACCGGCAGGGTGTTAGGAGGAAGGATGCAGGACCAAGAAGAGGGAGGACAACTGAGCTTAGTAACAAAGGTGGGGCTTCCCTTCCACCTCCAGATTTAAAAAAAAATAGGAATCCTGGGAATTCTTATTTTTAAATGTCTTTTGGAACTGCCATTGCCTCGGTTACCCCAGACGTCTTCTGCTATCACTCCTGGGATGCCCCCGGTCATCCTGGCCAGCACAGTTCAAAGAATGGCATCCAATCATCCACCCTTGGCTGGGAAGTCCCAAAGGATTCTTTCTGAGAAGCCGCCTCTGAGGAAGGCAGAGACAGAGAGGGAGGGAGGGAGGGAGATGATAGGGAGGGAGGAAGAGGGAGGGAGATGATACAGAGAGAGAGAGAGATGATAGAGACGGGGGAGGGAAGGAGAGGGAGAGCTAGAGAGAGAGCTAGAGAAAGAGAGAGATGATGCGCCTGCATTGTTAAGGCTGGCCTTTATTTGTTCTTCCCTAATAATCACTTCCTTCCCTCCACACGGCTGTATCTGTAGCCAAACAGGAGGAGGGGGTGCTGAACCATGCAAAAGGACAGATCGCAATTTGCAATTTACGGAGGGTTATTAACTATCCTTGTGCTGAGATTACATTCCTCTAATGAAGACCTCTTTTACTGCGCCATATAAATCGAGTGTGTCCCATGCATTGGGGGGCAAGGGGAATTCTTCAGAAAAAGAGAATGCGGTGAAGAAAAACAGAAAAATGCTGGTGGGCAGAAGCCACGGAGGCGGACAACCCAGGACACGGAATGAATGTGCCAGCTCATGTGAAAGCAGCAGTGTCTTCCCTGGCACCAGCCACACACAAGGAAAGGGGGACCAAAGGCACAGCGGTTGATGCCAAGTGGGAAATGGAGCCCAAGTCCCCGTGGAGGAGGCCTCTCCTGAGCATCACACCAGCCGTGACCCTCAGAATCCCCCCCTTGGCAGCAAAGCTGCTCCACGAGGCCTTTGGGGAGGTCCCTTGGCCGGGAAAGTAGGACTGCCAGAGTGCCTGATCAGGCAACACCCGGAAAGCGGAAGGAAAACAGCTGGAAAAGAACCCACAACCTTCTCCAGCCAACAGGAAAGGGGTGATTTTGCTTAAGGACCGAAGCAGCCTTTCTTCAGTGAAAAGGGGCCCAGCCTTGTTTTAAGAATGCACATCCGAGTTTGCCAAATTAGTGGGGCTCTTCCTATTCTCAACTGCAAATATCTGAGAAGAAATGGCACCTGCTATGCAGAAGTGCTTCTCTCCCTTGCACAGATTTGGTTCAAGTAAATGGATCTTCCTGGATGGAGGAATGTTTGCAACTGAGGCATTCTTCAGATTTCCTGGATGTTCTGATGCAGCCGTTTGGCTCCAAAATACAGAATGAGAACCACAGGAGTGAAGATGCTTAGAAATGATTGAGAAATACATTCAAGAATAGAAATTTATTTATTTATTTATTTATGAGACTTATATACCGCTTTAAGTGCAAGCACTCTCTAAGCGGTGCACACCAGGAAGCAATGTATATATATATTACATTGCCCCCAACAATCTGGGTCCTCATTTTACCTACCCCGGAAGGATGGAAGGCTGAGTCAACCTTGAGCCGGTGAGATTTGAACCGCTGACCTGCTGAACACAGTCAGCTAACGTGGCCTGCAGTACTGCACTCTAACTGCTGCGCCACCTATAAATATAAATTTAATACGGATTTTTAAAAAGCCAGAGTTGTGCAGACACAGCATGGAAGGGGGGCGAGATGAATGACATGAATTCAGTTTTGAGCAACTTGTCTTCTTGACACGCATAACTCCACATCGGATTCCTTGGCTCCACAGGTGCATTTGGGTGAGGGAGTTTCCACTCTTCAGAGGGAAGAAAAGGACCAGGCCTGTGTTTCCCCATCTTTTGTAAGAGCACCAAAGGATGAGGAGGGACGATGTACCTGCCTGTGCTCAGGTGATATTTGTGGCCCTTTTGCACTTCGGCTGAGCCGAGGGAAGGCCCTGCCCAGGGAGGCCGTGGCTTCTGTCCAAACACCTCCCGCAGGACCTCTTCCCCCCTCCCCCAGCAGAGCTCGTGGTTTAGATAGGCTGAACTTTCTGCCAGTGCAAGCCTGATAAGCTGCTAATAAGCCACAGGTCCCGTTCAGTCCTCTAGGTGATGAGCTAAAGGCAAGTCAACCCACAGAGGTCCTTCTTCCACCCACCACAGGTGGAGGCTTTCATAACGTGCCGTAGAATTGTTTGAGGAGCTGTTTCTTATCCACCTTGCCCATTTGGTTGCGTGGAATTTCCTCCATCAGGAGCAGCTCGGAAGGGATGGTGTAAGCTGGCATGGTCTCCCTGGGCACAGAAGAGCCTGTTGGTTAACAAAGAGGCGGCAGCAATTTCCCACCTCCTCCCTCCTGGGATGCACCAGCCCTCCAGTGCAGCCTCAAAGAAAAGAGGAGGCAGATGGTTCAGGAAAGACAATGGAAAGAGCTGGCTGTCTCGGAGTCCTCCGCCTTCTGCTTCTGGCGCCCCAACTTACCTTGCCCATTTCTTGAGGGTCTGGAGAGACAAATCCTGGCCCTTGTGGAGTTCTACCACAGCGCTGACCTTCTGGCCCCAGACAATGTCTGGGGCACCGATCACGGCAACATCTGCAGGGAAAGAGGATGGAAAACAAGTGTGTTGGGAAAAGAGCAGGAGCAACTCTTTCTACAAGAGATCTTTGACTCGCAAACTTCAAATTATTCATTCAGTTAGTTAAACTAATCTTAGGGACAGGCGGCAGATGGCTGGAGCTGATTTCATTTGCCTTAACTTGTACATGCAAGCTGCGCTTTTATTTATCTGTCCAGTCTTTATTTAACTTTATGATCTTTTTCTTCATGGCTTTTGAAAGAGAGCACTTCACCTTTTTGTCCTGGAGAATGGGCCGTAGAAAGAAAGCCAAATTTTGCAGCTTCTTGGTAAAATGCCATGTACATAATTAGCATTTCATTGATCAACAGCAAAATGGCAGAGCGCAGACAGCACCTGCAATGCTAGGGTGGGCCAGCAGGTGGCGCTCAACTTCCAGAGCGCTGATCTTGTAACCTCCGCTTTTGATGATGTCCACCGAGGTGCGTCCCCTGATCCAGTAGATGCCGTCCTGATATACAGCGGTATCACCTGGGAAAAGAAAAGCAGAGGGCTGAGATGGGCACAGCTTCTCAGGACGGGGCCGAGGAACAGCCTGCTGCCTCCCAGAACCCGGGTGCCAGAGCCAAGGCGTCCTTGCCGGACGTAGAGGCCCTCTTGGCTGGCCTTAATCCTGCCCCAACATTGCCTACAGGACCCTCTGCAAAGGCTTTCAGTGCCACCTTCCCAGGGCAGCCCCTGCCTCAGTGGCCATCTCCTCCCACGCATTTGTGCAGGCTTCCATTCTCCTCCAGTTCAGCCTGCTTGGCTCTTGGGATCCAAAGGAGGTGGGGGCTTTGCTGCCATCAGTGGTGGGCCGGAGGCTTCCTGTTTTTGCAGGTATAATTACAGGCTCACACCGAACGATGGAGTGCAATCTACACAGCTGCTGCTGCACTTTAGGGAAAATGGAAGGCGCCCTGGGGATTGGAATGCCCTTCGCTTGATGGGCTGAGAATGCCACAATGAGGGGTCACAAAGCCCAGAGCAGAAACCCACTCCCCCTCCCTCCATCAGCCACAGAACTGCTCTCCTCCCAAGCACCGTCCTTTGGGGGCTCCTGCTGAGATGGAAGCCGGACGCCGGTTGGTCCTTTTCGGATCTCTTGGTTTGAAGGACCAAAGGCTGCTTCCACACCCAGACCTCTCCTCCCTTTGACAAGGGCATATTCCCTGGCAAAGCCCCCCATCCCCAGAAAGGAATATACTGGCAAGGAAGGCCCCTTAGAAGCTCTTCTCTGAAGCTAACCACAGCTGCGACAACTCGTGGGGCTTCATCGATTGGGGAACGACAAAGAACTGGGAGGCAGTAGCTGATGGAGCTGGCCAGGTGCCACCTAAGGGGTGCAGAACACACACCTAAAAAATTCAGGCAGGAGCAAAATAGCAGGTGGACCCATTTAATCCAATCTTTTCTGAACAACAGGACAACGGAAGAGGGTGTCACTCAATCACCTTGGAGCTCCAGGAGGAAATGTTTTTCAGATCTTTTTCCTGCTAAATCTAAGCAAATCCCAGGAAACGTTCCCTGCACCCACTTGCCGAGTTCCCCAAACCCCCCGGAGCAAATAAATGGCTTTCTCTTGACAGGGAGATTTTCATTTCTGGAAAACAGGTGCTGGAAGGGCGAAGATGGGGGTGGGAAAGGATGGCAAACAATTAGAGGGAGGGAGATTAATGAGGGGTGGGGGGAATGGCTGTCCCCACCGCAGTCAGGCAAAAGGTGGAGTTACGGCATTGGAGGGTTGTGGTGTGTGTGTGTATGTTGTGGACATAAACCTCCCCACACTCCCCAAACGAAAACTGCATCGATAGTTCCCCATCTGCTCACATATATCACATACTTCATTCCAGTTTATTAGCTGGAATAAATCATAAATATTTCATTATACATCAACGGTGCCTGACTCCGGGAAGGCACAATCTATCACCTCGATGCTCCCCGTGACCCGCCACTGCGCATTAAGCTTTCCAGTCTATTAAACAAGATTGATACAGAGGGCTGGATGGACTGGAGGAATGTGTTTATAACATACGGGGGAAAGGGGGGGAGGCTGGAGCAAAGAATGGTCTGTGGAGAGGGGGGTCCCACTTCAATTGCTTGCCAAAGTCAAGGAGACAGAAGCCCCCCCCAAGTGCCACCAGAGAGAAGCCCCATCTTGTCCAGAGCATCCTGTTCCAAGTGCCCCCAGAGCCCTTGAGGGTCACTCAAGATGTAGGGCAGGGGTCTTCAAACTTGGCCCTTTTGTGACTTGTGGACTTTAACTCCCAGAAAGGCATGCTGGCTGAGGAATTCTGGGAGTTGAAGTCTACAAGTCCTAAAAGGGCCAAGTTCGAAGACCCCTGGATTAAAGGGCCAAAGGAATGAAGGGAAGAAGACAACAGCTGCAGTGGTGAACTGATACACACACACACACACAGATGCAAAAACAGACACACAAAACCTTCTGCTGGATATGGGTACTAGAACCCCATTTTTCCTTGGAGAGAAGTGGATCGTGCAAGCCTGCTGGAGCAGAGGCAGCCCAGCCCACCTGCCCTTGTCTTCTGGTCATGGACCAGTCCTCCGCCGGGGCCTCTGTGCTGCGCGGAGCCTGCTGTCTGCGGCCAAAGGCCTCTGGGCAGGGCATCCTGCAAGCACCCAGCGCCCACCCCAGAGCCTCTCCCAGCCTGGCACTGAAAGGGCTCCGGAGGGAAGAGCATAGTGGGGCTGCTGCAAAGAAGCAAGGGGGTCATTAGAAAGGGGGAGTCTCTCCCCTCCCGTGAGCATTTAAGTATTTATAGGCAGCGCTGCAGATGGCGAGAAGGGAAGGGAAAAGAGCCCACGGTGCCTCTCGGCAGCTTGAGAGGCTGAATCCTGGCTGTAAGCAATTGGAATAACCAAGATGCTGGAGTTAACTCCCCCCCCCATGCTCTGCGCCTCTCCTTCGCAGAACAGCTCTGGGATCAATTACACACCAGGCAAAAGCCAGCAACAGCCCGCCTGCCCCCTTTCCCTGGGGGGGGGCACCTTCCTGGGAATCTTCTGAAGAAGATGATTAAATAATCCACTGAGGCGGCAACAGGACGACGTCTGGAGGCTTTGGCAGTGGCCAATGCAGTGAGGAGGCTTGTCTGGCGGAGGGTCTCTAAGCAAGTGGGCTGCCAGCCCCCCCCCCCCTTTCCCCTCCTGCTCCCATTCGCTCGCTCGGAGTCAATATGCTCTCAGATACCCAGGGGAGGGTCTTCTGGAGAGCAAAGAGCAGAGGCCACCCCTCCCCAGGATGTTATCTGGCCAGGATTACACAACGGGAGGGGGAGGAAATCAGGAGGCTTACAGGTCCAGCTATTTTTTTTAAAAAAAACAAAAACCATGACTTTACCAGCTCCCTGGGCAAACCATGTTAAATAAAAGGGGGAAGGACTTAGGAGGCCTCGGATGGAGTCTGAAAAACCAAGGCATTCCTTCCAGATGCTGGTGGATGGTGAGGAAAGGAAGCCGGCATTAAGCTCATTGCAAGGGAATTCTTGCCACTTGCCGTCCCCCACCACCCTTTTCATTTTTGCCCCAGTAAAAGAAAGGAGCTCTGTGGCTGAGCAGAGACCCCCCTCAGAGCCGGCTGCGTGCGCATTCAGGGTGGGACAACAAAACGGAAGGTAGGAAGGGAACCTGACGGGGCAAGCAAAGGGCAGGGAGGTGCAGCTGCGGAGAAAAGAGGGGCCCGGATGGCTCTTGGGAAAGTAAATATCACCTCATCCAAAGCCAAGCCTGCATTTGCTGGTGCATCAAAGTCTGATTGGCAAACGAAGGAAAATCACCTGGCTTTGTGCCAGAGCTTCTCCCGGGCTGGGAAACTGGGGGAAATTAGGGGCTTAAATCCAGTCCTCCAGCTGTTCCCCTCAGGGTCCTCCTGTTTCCGCAGAGCGACCTTAAGGCAAAGGTGAAATTCCCAGAGAGACAGGGGGTCCTCAGCCTCTCGGTGACATTTCCATCTTGGCATGGGGAAATCAGAGCCCAGGGCTCAGGAGACGCAGGTTCACCAGCCCTAAAGGGCACGCAGGGGAGTTGGAGATGGATCCAATGTCCCAAAGGTGCTTTCAAAAATGCAACCAGAGTTCCTTGTTTTTTTCCTTGAAAACAAAAGAAGCATCTTGGATGAGGAGTGGAACATTTCCAAAGGATAAAACCAAGAAAGTCCAGTTGCCTTTCAAAAACTCTCTCTGGGACGACGGAGAAGCTCCACAGACATTCAGACGAATCCAACCGTTCCCAAGACGTTGCTCTGGGATTAGGCCCCTCTTGTGTTGGACTCGCCCTGCTGGTAAGTGACAGGCAACATTTGCAGGAGAACATCATTAAGCAATAATTTTAAAGAACAAAAATAGTATTAATCAAATTTACAGCTGGGAGAGAGGGTGTAAACAAACAAGAAAAAATTCATGCTAGGATTTTAATTAGGCCCATTTCTATTTATAACTCGCATTGAACAGGCACGAGTCATTTCCACCTCAGGTGTGAACGCCCACAAAGGGAAACAAATGCCCGCCCCAGAGGGGGAAACACCTGCTCCTCTCCCGAAGCTGGGAAGGTGCCAGGGAAAACTACTGCCAATTCTCAGCGAGGGCCCCACGCCGAGCCATCTGCTTAACTCCTGCGCTGCGGCTGGGATCGAGGGGAAGGCCATGGCCGGCAAAGGGGTTCTCACTCTCCCTAAGAAGAGACCGTAAGTCTCATCAGGCATTGACAACAGGGCCAGCGGGAGTGATGTGCCCGAGTCCGAGTGGATTAAACAGGGCCGTCCATGCCCTTTGTGGGGGTGGTCCTGTGTCTACGAGCCCCTGGGGAAAAGGCAGGGCAGATTCGGGGAGTTGTGGCCGCCTCACCATAGGCGGGGGAACTCCTGAGCCTCACGGACTGCCAGCAGTTCAAAGGGACGGGCGATTATTCCCATTTACCTGGTCTGATTCTCTTCATGAACTTTCCACGGCAGAAGGAATAAGGTGGGAGACTGAAGGCACCAACCGTTTCAAGGTCTTAGGAGTGTTGGCAGTTCTCCCGACATGCTTTTTAAGTTGCACTGCAGCTCCTGAGCAAGGCAGAGAGTGGGTGACCCAGGAGAAGACCCTTTGAAAGAAGCACTGAGCAGCTTCTTAACCTCCTGCTGGAAAGTCCATTTTAGGGTTTGCGTGGACCCTGGAGACTTATAAATTTGTGCACATCCCGTTGGAAGCGAGGCATCCGCACTCTGGCATGCGTATACGCTGGAAAGCCACGGCAAGTGTTCCTAAGTGGCTGCACCTTCCAGGAAAGGCAGGAGGACCACCTGCTTCCACACAGGAGCCTCTGGTTTAGGGCTTCTGAAAGCAAAAGGATCCAAATGCTAAGAAGCAGAATTTGGTTCTTCTCTACAAAGAGCGACACTGGCAGCCGTCTTGTTCGGCTGCATGTGGAAAGAAAGGAGCCTTTTAAAGCCTCCATCAAAGAAGTTAAATAACTCGACTTTTTTAATGACATATTAATCAAAGCACATTGATTTCCGAATCAGATTCTCTTGCCAAAGGAGGCTTTGATCTTCCCAGCCCTGATGCAGGCATTAGGGGAGTTTTATTCTGACAATACAGCAATCAATAAAATCTTATTATATGGAGCTGATATACATGGATTTGCTCTGAGGATTTATGCTCCACTTTCAGAGCCAGTACTATTTCATGCCTCTGCTTCAACCTGTAATTGAAAATAAATCTCTCCAAACACTCCCTGGTTCCAGTCCCTGGACGTATTAGCAGCGCCAATGGCTTCGGCCTCCCCACGGGGGGGATTGTAGCTCCGTCATCTGGCTTCTCTGGGCCACTTAGCCAGACTTCTCCTGCTGAGAAATTCTTTGCCCAGCAGGGGGGATTCAGGGATGGTTCTGGGGAAGTCTACCCTTGGACTGAATTGGTAGAAATGTTTTAAGTGCCAGAATTCACTGAGTTGAAGCAGAAAAACACACCCACCACCCTGGATCTTAAAAGAACACTAAAGCGGCAAATGCTGATTTCTCTAAGGATGGACGTGAAATTACTTTCCAAGGACTGTTGGCTTTTCGCCGTTTCTTAGCAGTCTGGTATTTAGGCAACCTATCAAGAAAACTACCTACATAAACAGTTATCTGTGGCTTGGCTTACTTGCTTAAGTAACCTGCGACTATCTGTTCCTCCTGGTAGAATACCACATTATGTTGATGCTCTTATTTTATGATGATTTAAGATTTGAGACGGCGTAAGAGGATGATGGGTGGGATTCCCCACCACAGAAGCACCTTGAAGAGCCACGAGCTCCCTTGGATCGGCTCCTGCTGTGCAGGGTCTCTCCCCTTCCAAACTCTCCCTGAGGCCCATCCAACCAATCGGGGTCCAGGGATGTCAGGACCCCCCCCTCCTCCTTCATTTGACTGCTGAGGCATGGGGGGGGGGCTTTTGAGGCTGTTTTCTCAGGCCCCAGCAGAGCTCCGTCAATAAACGCCCTTGCCTGCCGAGGCTATAATCATTTGCATTCTGCAGGAATGCTGGGACAGTAATTAACTCATTCAGATGCAGCCTTTGAAACTTACTTAGTAGCATCATTTGGCTGCACTCATAAAGATACATTCAGGAGTAGGAATTTCTCTGAGACACCTGACTGCACACGGCAAGTACAAAATTCCCTAGAGAACCTCTCTCAATTTTTTTTGTGTGAAAAAAAAAAAAAAAGGCTATTTGGTACGGTCATGACTGAGCCAAAGAGCAGCCTTATTGGTAAAGCTCCCAGGAGCCACTAGATGGCAGGGACAAGTCAGAATTTTCTCTGTTTTCTTTCTGCCCTCTAGAGGTTGTGTTGGGGACTGCAATCCAGATCCGTTTAGTGGTTGAAGCTGGCAAAGCAGGACTCAAGAGATTCCCAGGTCATTCTGTAAACATGGAGCAGGCATTTCTGATGCTGAAGACTGAAAAAAAGAATGTCACAAAGTCCACAGACCAGCGGGAGGAGAAGGCTGCTCTATCAATCAAATTTTGATTGAATCTTCTAGTACATATTTCTTCTTACTTTCTTCTTTGCAATGAACAACGTATCTAGCTAGCGTGCGTCTGTGAAGCTTCTGTGGTCACTGAACGTGGGCTGAGTTTCTGGATGGCAGAGATCAACAGCCTGGCCTCCTGAGACTGGACAATCTGGCAGGCCTGCCTTTTGCAGAAAAGGCCTTGCCTCAGAGAGGGAGGGGGATGGGAAGGGGGGGGGAGAGAAAGAAAGTGTTCACACACAAGTGCAGAGGAGGCAAAACGGTGTGGTCTGAGATTTGCATTTCCCTCCCTCGAATGGCATCACTTGTGAATGCTTGTCTAATCTTTTCAGAGGATCCAAAACAAAACAAAAAAAAAAAACCCAGAGGAAGAAAAATGTTGAGAGTGGTAACAAGGAGGAGAGCAATCAAAATGCCGTTTCTCTCCCTTCCCATCTCGGTGTGCTGCTTTTGGGGATGGGGGAAATCTGGGCCAGCCTTCCATTTGCCCCCAGTCTGAAGGAGGAATCCTTTTTCATCCCCTCCCCCACCCCATATCTAACTCAGAAGTGAGCTCAGGCGGGTGGAAGGGTTAAGTTTAATTTATACTGATTTCCATTTAATATCCTTCTCTCCCTCCCGTAGGAGCCAGCAGCTGTGAGCTGATTGTAGTTTCTCATTATGCAGCCTGTATCACTAATGGCCTGTGACAAAGGCATGCCATCTTCCAGGCCGTACCCCTGAGAGCCAATTAAACACATATACCCCTTTCCTGCTTGTGGCACGTTACAAGGAAATTAAACTGAATTTCAAAATCATTTTCTTCTAAAGACATCTCTTTACAATAATTAATGCATGCTATTCCTTTGCATCTGAAATATTTATCAGGAAGATCAACTCTGAAAAATACATTTTGAAAACAACAACAACACGGGATTGCCTGTAACTCTGAGTCGCCTGCCACCCTCCCTGGCACTGCAGCAAGACCTGCTCAGCTGCAGCCATTTTTAGGTTATTAGAACCGCTAATGATAATAATCAAAATGAGTAAATACAAGTAAAAAGTCACCAGAGAGAGCTTAAGAAGGGCTGATGTGAAACGGCACGTGGGGATTGAGGTTCTCAGAACATTCCCGCACTCTTTGACAGACCTCACCCCAACGTCCTTATTCCCCTGGGGAGATGGATGGGAAGACCCCCTCACCCAGGGATTGCGGAGGCCAATGTGAACCGGGAACATTAGCTGTTGCTGAGCTCTTTGGGCCAGCTGGTGCCATTAAGGCAGGCGCTGAGCTGAGAGGCCTCCCCTCTCTGCCCAGGCCGGCCCTGGAGGAGATGGGGAGAGGCTGATGGACAGGAACGGAAGTAATCAGGCGCCCAAGCGCCACTCGCAAGATGAATGACGCCCAGGCTGAACAAAGGGAGGACACGTGTCCCTTGTGTACCAACTTGCTAATCCAAACAGCCGGCTGTGGTTGGGAGGAAGGCAAAGAGGAAGCCGGGGTCAACAGGCTTAAGCAGCCAAAGGTGATTCTAACAGGTCGTGTGCCATCCCAAGCCCCCCTTGCTGGGCTCTTTCTTCGGTGGGGCTGAACATACAAGTGCAGTTGGTGGAACAATTAACCAGTGGAACAACCTGCCTCCAGAAGTTGTGGATGCTCCAACGCTGGAAGTTTTTAAAAAGAGATCGAACAGCCATTTGTCTGAAATGGTACAGCACTTCCTGCCTGAGTGTGCAGGGGGTTGGACTAGATGACCTCCAAGGTCCCTTCCAACTCTGTTATTCTGAAGCAAGGCCTGCTCTGCTTTCCCACTGCACCCCTTCAGAAGCCCTTGAGAAGCAGAGCGGCCATCAAACCCGGCAGCAGGTGCCAAGAGACATCCTCATAGTCACAACCTGCGGCACTGACCGTCTTCGTCTCTTTCACAACTGCGTTTCCTGCTTTGTAAAGCGAGGCAGCTAAGTCAGCGGTCCCCAACCTTTCCAGCCTGGTAGCCCGGTGCGGGGGGTGGGTGGGAATGGGGGTGGTGGTGGGTGGCATGCGCACACACAGCTCCACTTGTGCAAGCAGCGTGCGTGCACACCCTCTGTTCGCGCGAGTGGAGCTTAGCACATGCACGCTTGCACGCTCACGTGGCCCGGTTTCGAACAGGGTACGGCCCAGTAGTAGGTTGGGGACCTCTGAGCTAAGTCACCCTTGTTCTATTATGGCAGCAACTTTCATGGTTTACTGGGTGGTGTGAAGCACCTTCTTTTTCTCTGCCCCAAACTGTGCTCAATTCAGGCTCCTTCGGTGACCGATGAGCCCTCGGTGGGGTGAGCAAAATGCCAGGACCAGGGCATAAGCAGCTGCACCTGAGAGGCCTCCTTCTATGGGCTCAACCTTTTGAGTGCATTACCATGTGATGGCTGGGACCAGACTAAATGAGGCACTCAGTCAGGCCCCTGCCTTAAGCGTACAATGAGTAGGAATCAGACTGTTGCGACAGAATCACTGAAACGCTAAATTGGTTAAAAGGGGTCAAGTGCTATTTGCGTACTAGAAACACCATTCACACAACCATTTATCAGAATTTCAAGCCACAGCTCTGCACTGTTTCCAAGTCAAGGGCAAGTGCAAATCCAGTCTATTTCCGTAACCTTGAGCCACAAACCAACATGTGGGGTTGCTTTTTTTTTGCCCGTCCTACACTCAGCAGCCCTATAAATACACAGGGTCAGTCCAATAGCACGTCTAACTGAATAATGCCTCAGCTGGCGGCTCATTTGGGTCTCCAGACGGGGAAGGGGGTCTCCATCGTCCTTTAACTCAGTGCATCTCAACCTTGGCCCCTTAAAGATATGTAGACACGAACTCCCAGAAGCTGGGGAATTCTGGGAGAGGAAGTCCACACATCTGCAAGCTGCCAAGGTTCACAAACACTGTTTCAACTAGACCCAGAACCTGAGATTCTTATCCCCAGCAAAGTACCTGTCTTGAACCAGCCATCGGGAGTAAAGGCCTCCTTGGTTTCAACAGGTCTGCTCCAATATTCCCGAAACACTGACGGGCCTTTCACAAAGAGCTCCCCTTCTTTGGCATCGAAGCCTGGAGTCACCTGTGGAAACAGAACAGTTATCTACCCAGTCAGCCCCAGGGGTCTTCAAATCCCAGCCCCCAGTAATGAAGAAGCCTCTGGCCTGCCAAGATAGGCGGCTCTCTACAAACCCTAGATATCTGCATTCTGTTCTGGAAAGAGGAAGACCTGTCGGCCACAGAGATAAGACTCTGGGCAGATCTGGACTTCTCTGGCCCAGTTCTCAGCATGACAGCGAGGTTCAGGCTCCAGTTCTGCCCCTCGGACCTTCACCCCAACTGCTGTCTACCGAGGCAGAGGCTGAGCAAGGCAACCTCACATTTCCTCCTGAAAATCTGGGCCAAAGGCGCCAGCAGCACTGAGAAGGGGCAGCCAGGCAGGTGTTTCCGTTCCTTCCCATATCAATGAAAAAACTGGGCGAGCTTCGAAAACCTTGTTGCCTCTGCTGGGACGCTGGAACAAGCTCAGGGCTGCCCCAGCCCATGTAGAGCAGGGCTTTCCAACCTTTTCACCCATTGGGCCACATTTAGGCTATGGCAACATCCGAGGACCACCAGGCGCCTAGCAAGGGGTCAAAAACTTGATGACCCCCCCCCAAAAGGAAAAAAGTGATAAAGTACAGGTAGTCCTCGACTTACAACAGTTCGCTTAGTGACTGTTCGAAGTTACAATGGCACTGAAAAAAGTGCCCTTCCCCCAAGCCACAGCCGAGCAAGACAGTGCCCGGGGGCACTCTTCCTCCTGTCTGAGGTTTTCATTGTTGTGAGCATTTCTGTTGAGGATTAGCAGTGGGGGTGGGGTGGGGGTGTTTTTATTTCCCCCCCCTCTGCTAGGTGGTTGCAGCAGGTTTTGCTCACTTCACATGACCCTGGGACACTGTGACCATCATAAATATGAATCAGTGGCCAAGCATCTGAATGTAAATCACAAGACCCTGGCGAGGCTGCAACATTCCAGCTGATCGGCGCTTCTTCTAGGATCAGTGCTGCTTTCCAACTGCTTGGTGCTTCTTCTGGGTTCAGCAGAAGCGCAGGATCAGCGCTGAGCTCCAGCTGGAGCCTGGCGCTGATCCTGGCGTTTCCGCTGAGCCCTGACAGCCCTGCATCTCCAGCCATCTCTCGCTCAGGCTTGTGCGGTGCTGCCACCAGTTCAGCTCATTCTCCTTCCCCGATACCACTTTTCTATCACCTGCCAGGTGCCAATGTACCACAGGTGGTACCCATACCACTGGTTGAAAAGCCCTGGTGTAGAGAACAGCTCCCTGGCAGCGGGCACCCTCCTCTTGTAAGGGTTCACAGCCACATTGCTGGCTTGGAGTCAGCAAAACACACAGAGAGATAACGGGGATGTTATCAGAAGAGGATTTCGTTCCCGTGTAGCTGTGCTCCTTTGGATACTTTGCATATTGCAGCAAATATTTGTGTGCAATCGTTCCCCTATGGCAAACCAGTACACCCCACAGGGCCTGCACCTCTTTTCCCAACCAGGGCCTGGCTCTGCAGCGGGCTTGCTTGCTCTCCTTTCTCCTCCCAAATCTCCAAGGTATCCGTTCGTTGATGCACTGGATCTAACTTACAAGCAGCTGCTGGAAGCATCAGATGGCTAATTGTACAGATATCCTATTCTCCAAATGCCATATTTTAATGCACATTGTAGCTGCTTTAATGTGTTCGAGCAACTTTAACACAGAGGCACGGCTTGTGCCCTGGAAGGCTGGCGCTTGATAGCTTTCTGCTGCAAAACAGATCCGGCAAGTTGAGTTAGGCCAGCCGGTGCGGCAGATAAGATTACATTTGCCATGCATGGAAATAAAAAAAGATTGCAATAAATTCTCTGAAGGAAGAAAGCCAGCTGATTATAAAATGGTTAATTTCAAAGTTTCATTTTTTTTACCTCTCTGTTAGCAGGTGGTCTTGGTGAGGGGTTATAGAGGGAGGGGAGAGCCAGCCCCTCTTAATACAACTTCCCCTCCCAAGCTCCAGGGGCTCAAAAGTTCTTTTCTAATGATTCCCAAGAATCACGGATTCAGTCCTCCCCCCCCCCCGCGTGTAAGGGCTACATCCTCAGCTAAGAAATACAATACTGTCCCCCAACTCAACAATGTTGCAATCAATTATTTATTTAATAAATGCATATGGCCACCCATCTCACAAACATGCCTCTGTGTGCTTAACAATTAAAAGCAGAATTGAAACAGGATAAAATAACCCTTTAAAAAACAACAACCACCACCCAACATCAATACCTAGAATTAGCTGTCAGAAAAACCTCCCGGATGAGGCTGAGGGGGTGAACTGGAGGGTTCCTCCTCCTCCCAATTTAAGGGGAGGCTGTCAAGGGCAGGAGCGAGCGCCTGGCCCTGTTGTGTGGGGCAAGCAAAGGGCTCCCCAGTGAAATCCCAGGGGCCACGTGATGGGCCACTGCCCCCCCCCCACAGATGGCCCTGTGCTTCAGAGGACGGTTTTTGTGGCCTCCACAGGCTCTGCAAAGAGGGAGCCCAAAGTAAGAAGGCTAATCTGGCCGGAGGGACCTGGTTGTAAACGCCGCAGCTGTTCCCTCTCCCATCACCACCAGCAGCAGCAGCAGGCAGGAAGAGCCATAAAATTTAATTTTTCAAGACGGCGTTTTCATCCTCCTCCTCCTCCTCCTCCTCCTCCTCCTCCTCCTCCTCCTCCGGCAGCACCACCATCCCTGCTGCCCGGCACTGGTTAAAAATGCAAAGGGTTTGTGCTGCTGGTTTATATTTGCAATTAAATAATTACCTGAATCAAGATACTTAAGGAAGACTAGGAAGTTTCCTCTTGGCACAGAAGAGGGGGTGTTAAGCAGGAAAAAGCCCCCATCACTCCTGCTAGTTCTATCTGCATAAATGAATCGTTTTATTAATCCATCTGCTTAACAAAAATCAGAAATCTGAATAAACAATTTTTAATCAGAGAGAGGGGAAAAAACCCCACAGTGGGGAGCTCTTAATTGGTGCCCCCTCCTGGTTTATACTGCCAGATGACATTGGTCACACCGCATTCTCTGAGTTATGCTCTATCCACATCCACCAGCAACCTCCCCCCCCCATATACTTTAAGACTGAACAGCGAAGAGGGAGCGCTTTGGCCCTGCTTGCACACAGCTCGTCCACAGTGAGAGAAATAATTTTCTCTCCTGCAACCCCAAAGTCCAAAAGCTGTTGCTGAAATGCTCATAAATATGGAGATGGGGGTCAAGGTGAGGCATTCATTGCACAAGATGCAGTCACGGCCACTAACATGGGTGTGTGTGTGGGGGGGCAAAGGTCAGGTGGAGCGAGGACCTCCTGAAGAGAAATCCCACCACAAAGATTTGGGGAGGATTCTGGGTGAACACTTAAGCAGGACATCCCATTTCTGTTCCTTCTACCCGTTTTGTTGTTTTTTAAGTTATCGCCTTTCCTCTGCCTACCGAGTTCCTTCAGCTGCTGCTCGGCTGGGAGGGTGGCACCCGCAAGCCTCAACTCTCTCTTAAGGGTGGTGCAAATGGGTTTTCGATAGCCCATTTCTGGCTTCATCCCACAAGGTCTTCTCGGACAGCTCCCTGGCCAGCCTCCTGCCCAGGCCGGGTGACTTGGCCCGCCTTGACTACCTGGGACAATCCACTAGCTCTCCTTCAAGCCAGTCCTCCACAGCCGCTCTAGGAAATCCAGAAAGCCTTTCTGGGAAGTTGTTCTTGTTCCCCAAAACAAAGCAGATCGCTTTTCTCTTTCCTTTCCTTTCCCAAAACACACAATTCTTTTTGTCTAGACAACTACCCACTGCCTGTTGCAGCTGTTCTTCCGTGCTGCCAAACATCACCAATCAGGCATCAGGTAGCAATAAACTTTTAATCGCTGTCTATGGCTGGTAGTAAAGTGCTCAGCAGCACACAGCCCATCTCCTAGGCAACCTGGTCCCACAGACCCTCTTGTAATTAAAAATTCCCCCCTCGGCTCCCTTTCCAAGCGAGCAGCATTATCTCTGCTCCAAGCTGTGTGTCCTGCAGCCGGGCCACAGAAGGCGGCTAGGAAGCTTCATCGCCCCTTCCCTCCCCCCCCCCCCTAGAGAGGAGGCCGATTTGGAGCTCCTTGGGGAGAGCACACTGAGAAGGAGCAAGAGGAGGAGGGGCAAAAGTCGCCCCCAGCCCAGCCTGTAATCTGCAAAAGCCACATTTCGCATCTGGCTTTGCAATGGTATCTTTTCATAAAGGAGCCTGGGAATAATGCAATCAGCTCACTTTTCAGTGTGGAAGACTTCATATTTTGAAATGAAAGGAGAAGCGCATCAGGGAAGGACAGCAGAGCAAGAAGAAGGTTTTAAAAACGGGGTTCAGTTTGTAAATCCCTGCAAACCTAAGCTTCCTATGTACGGGGGATGCACTAGAAATAATATGTTACGACTAAACCATATTTTTTCAAAAACACATGAAGAACCTCAAAATAAGTATTTTTCCTTGTTAGGGAACATAACAAATAAGCATTTTACAAAAAAAAAAAAAAAACCTCAACATTTACTTCTAGAATGCTGGAGGGATAAGAAATCATTCAGAAATTCTGGACGTTATACTTGAACCATTGTTCAGTTTTAAAGAGCTGATTTATTTTCCCAGGCCTTTCTTGAAGCAGAGAGACCAGAACACTCATGTTCAACCTTCCTTCCTTCCTTCCTTCCTTCCTTCCTTCCTTCCTTCCTTCCTTCCTTCCTTCCTTCCTTCCTTCCTTCCTTCCTTCCTTCCTTCCTTCTCCTGCTAGTCTCCCACCAAAGGTCTAATCAGGTCTGAGTCTCTTAACTTTTTCTTGATCAGGCAAGAACAGCAAATGTTGCCACTTGCAGTGACATTCCATACTTACAAATAGTTAAGCCGGGTCTTCCAGATGCACTTCAAAGTACCAACAAGGCTCAGAGAACCTCAAACAAAGACCAGAACGAGGTGGGCTTCCTTCATGATCTCTGAAATGACTCTATGGAAATTTATCTTAGGCCAGCTCGATTCAAACCTGGTGTTGCTAGCTTTGGCTGGCAATAGCAGCGGCAGCAGAAGAGGGGTCCTCCCACGGCCACCTTCTTTAAAAAGAAATTTGCATGTAGAATTTCCTGTGGGCCAACCAGGAGTCCCACCAACCGAATGAGCAAAACCAGCTTTCAGCAGAAGACAACATATATAACTCAGGACTGAACTGTGGAATTCCTTGACACTCTCTGAGCTTGTTGATTGCAGATGTTTCATTGCCCGACTAGGTAACATCATTAGTAAACAGCACTGATGCTGCTGTTAGCTGTGTAATGAAATGCCCACAAGCAAACAACCAAGCTCTGAGAGCATTGAGGACCACCAGCTTTATCTACTGAGAATGCCTCCCTGTAGTGGCTCAGAGTTTATCTCTCCAAACTGAGTGCATTTTCCCTTCCCCTTGAGGGAGGGGAGTGTGTTCAAAAGAGGCAAACAACATAGACGATAGTTGTGATGCTCCAAGAATTGCAGGATCCTGCCAGCTGGGAAGCTACAGCCTATGAAATATGCATCTCCATGAACAAAGTAAGATGAAACCGCCAGGGCTGGGGAAGCAGAAGAGCACCACCGTCCTTCTCCCCCCCCCCCATGCTTTCAAGTTGATGGGGAGGGAAAGCAGTGAGATATTGTATAAGAGGAGCAAAGTTCGGAACAACCCTATGCAACACTTGGGGCAGGGATAGAGGTCAATGGACAGATGAGTCCATGGTCTTCCCAGGAATTCTCCCCTGTGGCGACTGCTGGGTGCCCTGCAAGCGAGCTAAGGAGAAGGCCCCTGGAGAAGACCTGGAAGCCTGATTGCTACTGCAATATCTGTTTCACTTTTAGGATGAGTCCTCCTGATATATATACGTAATTTCTGGCAACATTAATTTAGGGCACTGGGAAGGGAGTCGCTAAAGGACACTTGCTCCTTTGCTACCTGACTTCCACCTCCAGCTACAGATTGATCATGGATCTTGTAGATTGCACTGAGGCACTTCAGAAACAAAGGCTAAATAATTCAGAGCATATCCAATCATTAATTTGGGAGGCAGACTGTATTTTAACAGGCGTTGAGATAGTATAAAGTCTTACTATGGTATATTTTAAAGGAACTTTATCCTTTAAATATGTTATAAAGTTAAGATTATCATCCAAAATCTTTTTGCAGGTTCACCAAGCAACTGAGAACAGAGGACCCAAACTCAAACGTCCGCAGAAGTCTCCAGCTGACTTCTCTTTTAGGCAATACATCAAAACTATTTTATTCTCTCACCCTGCCGGCTAGAATAATACCGTAAACTCTATTGCTACTTTAATCTTCTCTTATTTCTGCTCGCTGAATAATGTTTGATTGTTTGCTTTCAGTCAAATGTGGATTTTATTATTATTATTATGAATAATTTTATTCCAGGATGAAAGCTACCTTGAAGACCTGCATACTGAAAAGCCCCATTTAAAGTGTTAGTGGTTTACGTAGTAAAGATTAGTACCATTTCCCCCCCAGCCAGGTCAGTCTGGCAGAGAGCAAGGAAGTAGGAGTAAATGCTGCCTCCAAGGTAGGGGGGTCCAGACCCTTCCTACAACTCAAATGGCCCAGGAAAGCAGTGAGCGTCTTACATGAACAAAAGTGGATGATCGCCCTGCTCCATAAAAGGATTACTGGGCCCTGTTCAGACACACCTCTTTGGGCAGGAAGTGGGGAAGTTCTCTCAGGGCAGCCTGCTGGAAAGGGGCATCAGCTGGATAATTGGATCAGCGCCTGGCAAGGGCAGCAGGAACATTCATGGGCCAGCCAAGGGTGACCAACAGGCAGCCTTGCCTCTCTGACTGACGTGACTCACAGGCAGAAAAAGAACAGAGCACCAAGAGTTACAGAATACCAAAGCAGAATGAGTATTGTTAGAAGGCAACTGCAGCTTTTTGGTATAAAGCAAGACATGGGGAAAATTTCCCTCTATGCCATGGGGTCTACCCTATCTGGATGACCTGAACTGGAAAGGCTTCAAATGGAGCTGAGGTGTGTGTGTGTGTGTGTGTGTGTTCAACACACAAAGTGTGCCTTTCTTCCCTCTCAGCTGCAAGATGGGGCAATATGGCAAACAGTAAGGAAGCACCAACTGGCCCTCAAGGCATTTTCTTAAACCTTCTCCGCTCTCTGATTCTCCAGACTCCCTGAATTACCATTGTGCCCATCTCGTCCCCTTCAGCATGGATGCAGAAGGCAGAACTGTCCTTCGTCCAGCTTCCGGTGGCGATGCGCACCTTAACTCCGGGCAGCGGCGTCCCAACTGATCCTGGGAAAGAGAAAAGGGAGAGAAAGGGAAAGGCGATGAAAAGAGCCACATGGGAAGAGACAATCCATGGGGAGGCCCCACAGAAGATGAACCACTGGGGTCTCTCAGCAGGTGAGAGTGGAGAGTGACCAAGTCCCAGGTGATTTCTGCAAATGTGCCTGAATCCTCTGGATTGTGCTGCACCAATTAGTGGCCGGGGGACGCCCTCCCCAGCGCCCAGCATCCGAGGACACTGCTGGGCTTCGACCACGATTCCTCCAGCGCCAATTACGAAGAGGGAACAATGGGAGACGCGTCTTATAGAACATTTATGGCTAACTGGCAATGGTAGTTTGTGCTCCAATGGCAGCACAGCAACTTAATTATGGCAAAGGCAGGAGATCCCTCTCCAGGAGGCTGCAATTCCCTCCCCACCCCAGGGAAAAACCAGCCAGTCTTTAGATGTTTCATTCAGTTTCTATGTTGCCAAAAGAGACACCTATATAAAGGAAGCTTCACAGAGAGCTGGCTTATTGCTCCCCCCCCCAAAAAAAGACAAGCTTTCGAAAGCGGGGGTCTCTAAAAGGATGGGAAAGGCAGACAATGTTAATTATAGTGATACCAGTACGACAGTGCAATTAAAAGTCTTTGTGTGAAGACAATAATTCTTGCTTTTGGGGCCCGAGTGACATTTAAAAATTAAGCCTGCCTGGATAACAGAGGGTCTAATCTGGCTCCTCGGTGATGCAAGCAGAGATAGGGAAGGGAGCAAAGAGGAATCAAAAGCACATCAAGAGTTAAAACATTTTAAAAGCAGCCTTTGTTTCTTTTTTACTTCTGGCATTTAACCATGGAACCGGGAAGAAATGGCTGCCCCTGCGAGTTAAGAGCTCTTGGACGTTTGTCAAACTGGCTCTCCACCATCCCGAGACAAGCAGCTGTCAGCACCAGGAGTGACCCTATTAGTCGCCCAGTTCCTCCTCTGTTTAAGTTAGTTGTCAGTCTTTCCCGGATAAATTTAATTGGCCCTGCGGTCTGTGTCCTTTGGTATTGGGGGACCGGGATGCTGTTATGCATGGCAATGTCCTGGGAGACTTGAAACAGGCCAACAATCAAGCTCTCCACACTCTTGCTGTCAACAATCGACAGAGTCTCCTCTGTAGGAGCTATTAGCCACCTCTGATCTAAACCTCCAATTAAAGTGGTGATTAGGCCCAGCGAGGCATTCACTGGCCATGAATTATTCATCTCCCTTCACAGTAACAACACCAAGGGGGATTCGAGGAAAAGGGGAGGAGGAGGGGGGAGGGAAAGGGCTGCAGAAAACAGAAGCATTTTAAGCAGAGGTTTAACCATCTACAATCAAAACATTTCTCTCTAAATCTCTCATCTCCTGGCCTCTCAAGCAAAAGGCTCCCCTGTACCCTCAGATCTCAGGGCCTTGACCGAAGAAGCGCCGGGGGCCTGGCTGAGGACCAGAGACGATCCCTGGGGGGGGGAGATGCCTCTGCAAAAGGGGACCCAAAGAAAGGAGAAAAATGCCCAAACACATCTGGAGAGAAAAGTAGAGCAAGTGACGATTTGGAAGGCTGAAACAGCCAGGCAAGAGCCACAAGGACAGAGGCCGCATGTCTTGGGGTGTCTGCAGAGGATGATAAAAAAAAAGCCAAGATGGCAGCTGTGGTGGTGCAATCAAAGCTCCGCACACGCAACTCACATTACAAACAGGAAGACTTTTGGCTGCACTGTGATGGCTACACCTATGGACACCTCTGCTTGGGCATCTATCTGCACCACAGAGAAAAGCCAAGGAAAGCAGGAGCTTTGCCCCTCTGCCAAGTTCAATGGACCTGGCAGGGCCTGGCGTCTCTCTCAACAGCCTCTGCAGAAGGAGCTGTCCGGTGCTGAAGCTCCTGGCTTTCCCAATGTTCTTGGTCTCCCCCTCCTGGGAGTCTTCCATTATATCCTCCAGCTGAATGGAAGGAGGTGAGGCAGGGCCGTTGCTATCTAACCTGAACACCTTGGAGTGCAAATTGTTTGCAGCAGTAATGCACATCCCCGAGATTCAGTTTATCACTGAACTCCATTTGGGGTTTGCCCTTCATAAAAAATATCTCAAGGCAGAGAAGCAGAGATAATTATCTGCCTCGGGGGATTTTTTTTGAAGGGCGAAACACTAGTCGAGTTCAATGATAAATTGAATGTTGGAGGGAAATTCAGGTAATGTAGCTCAGATGACTGTAGCTATCCTGAAAGAGATCCCCTGCGTGAGCAGTTTGGTCTTTGGAAACACACTGAACTGTGGATGGGCCACGGTACAAGGTAAACACCCGCTTTGCATATAAAATGTCAAGGGTTCAGTCCTCAAATCTGCCAAATTAGATCTGACCAAAATGAAAAGGACCGTCTATCCAACCCTCTTCCCAAAGGTCTCTGGGAAGCCCACAAGGGGATGCGATGCTCACGGCTTGCTTGCAGCAGCAGATGGGACTAAAGAGAGGGCCAACAGGTTGACCTTACGTATATTTTTATACGTCTTGCAAAGACTAATTCTGGGGGTGGTGACTATGCCTGGGTTACTCTCCCACCTTCATCACTTTGCCCTGAGGAGAAATGAGCAAAAGGCCAGCCCCCACGCCAGGATCTTCCTGCTTGTGCAAACCAGGCCTCCAAGAAGGGAGCATTAAGGAAACCTGTCTTCAAACCCTCCCGATGATCCAGATGATCCAGGAAGCCGTCCGAGGGCCTCTGGGAATATGGGGGGGGGGGTAGGTGGGGACACATGCTAATTAAAAGCAGGGACAGCCTGGGGCTTCCTGGGGGGGGGAGAAACCTTGCTTTGCCTCTTCCTGCCTCACCCAGGTTCTGTCAGCACAGCCCTGAAGCATTACTCTTCTCTTAATGCTTATAATAATGTGCAGTATCAAAGATGCCAACACGAGCTTCAAAGCAGCTTGGAAATTCTCTCCAGAGCCTCACCTGGAACACGAGGACCGTGCAGTGGGTTGGAAAGTGCCATCCCAATCTCTGTCATCCCATATCTCTCCAAGAGAACGTGGCCCGTAAGGCTCTTCCATCTTTCTAGGACCGGCACCGGGAGGGCCGAGGACCCCGATACCATCAACCTGAAAGCGGAAGGGCCAGTGGGCGTCAGGCACCTTGGAAACAGGCGGGGCAGAAGACCTGCTGCAAGACCTACTCCAAGCCAAGGCAGTGATGGGGAGCACTGGGGCCTCATTCCAACAGGGACATCAGCATCTCAGGCCTGATGCTCACAATCAGGGTGAAGCAGGAAACCCTTCGCATCTGGCTGCGGGAATCGCCTCTGGACAATCACCGGAGACCACGCAAGACAGCCAAGCGCCGCTTCCTCGGGCCAGCCTGCCCTGAAGCCAGATGCCCCACAGCCATGTACAGAGAGGAGAAAACAGGGCAGGTGGGAACATCAGCACGAGACCTGGACTCCTGCCAGAACAGAAATCGGGCTTTGCGTTTCCATCCTGGAATCCAGAGTGGCAGCCACAGAAATGTGACAGATGGTTTTGAGCAAGGAAGGAGGTGGTCAGCCTGGGCAAGTCCTGGTTCTCCTCTCTCGGGGAAAGCTGCGCCCAGCGAATCAGCAGGGTGCGCAGGCTGAGGACCAGCTCTAGTCTTCAAGGAGAAATCCTCTCTCACTGCCCGGCTGCGCCCCCGCAGGGAGTGAAATGCTGCTGGGCCTCTAAAGCCTGGGGGGGGGGGGAATCTCAGAAACAAGGTCACTGCCTGGCAGGGATTGTTTCAGGGGGATGTTGAAATCATCCCCCTCCCCAAAGCATCCCAGGAGGGGGTCCCAAAGGCCTTGGAAAGGCATAAAGCATCGCTTACTGAGCCCCAGCACTCTCTCCCTGCCCTACCCGCTCTATGCTGAGATTGGTTTCCCATTTATTCCCACAACTCCAAAACTGACCGTAAAAAGCAACTGCTCTCTGTTAAAAATATCAATGTTAATCATGCTGAAAAGCCTGGGCTCTGGCCTCGCCCTGAAAGACAGCCATAGCCACACCAGGCAGGGGGCTTATGCCAGTTGCCAAGGAAAAGGCTCGAAGAAACGATCTCCCGGAGGGGTCACGGGTGCAGGGGTGGCAGCTCAACCCCCCCCCCCAGTCCTAAGCCCTTTGGGTTGAAAGCCGGTGTTTTTCCTAGGCTGCCTTGGATTGAACCCGCTTCCCAGTGGGACCAAGATGTTCTTGGGAAATGTGTTTAATTTCAGGCTCCCTGACAAGCGGCTGTTCTCCGACTGCTTGGAGAAGCTCAGACTGCCTGAGGCACGTGGGGAGGGGACCCCATGCCGCTGGGTTGGAAGGAAGGGCTGGGCTGGGGAAGAGAAGCCCAGCTCCACTGGAATGAGACGAGGAGGGCTCACCTACCGGATATGATCCTGGCAGACGGCACGGATGAAGTCCTGGACGCACGGCTGAGAGAAATGCTCATCATAATAAGCAACCAGTTTGCTGTAAATGGTTGGCACGGCCATAAAGACGTTGACCCGGGGAGCCTGGAGACTCAGGAGGGCTTCCCAGACCTGGAAGAGAAGATCCCTACACGTGTGCAAGGCCACTCCGGTGTTCTGGGCTCAGAGAGGCGGCTCAGAGCTTGTGGCTCTGCCCCAGGCAGGACCGAGAGGAGGAAGACGGCGCATCGAGTCATTGGGGAGCCAAACCACAAGCCGGCACTAAGCCACATGCTGAGCAAATGCTCGCTCCCCAAGGCCCTGTGACAGGCACAGACAGAGTCCAACCTCCACATCCAGCCAGAGCACTGGGGCCTCCCCAGGCTGTCAGCCCGAGGAGCCCTGAGAGGCCTCGTCATGAATATTTAAGCTTGGCTAATTTGCCCCCAATTCTGCCGCTGGTCTCTCTCGGTGAGTAAGGAAGAATGAAAAACCTATGAATAAATAAAAGACGGTCTCAGCTCTGTTATGGCAACCTTTTCCATCCTGTCGCTGACAAATGTATTTCCTAACAACTCATGACACGGGGGGACCTTCCAGCCTTCTCTGGCGCAAAGCGATGCCAAGCGTGGTGGTGAAGAGCTGGGCCGTCTGAAAGAGGAGCAACAAGGGGGAAACAGGGGGCATCTTCCAATCAGCGGCAGAGGGAACGTGCTCGAGTCCATAAATGGATTTTAGCTGAGAGTGAAGGCTCACTGGCTGCCGGGGGAGCCATCACCGAAGGGGCCCTGAGCAGAGTGTTTCTTCTTTGGCAGAACTCAAGTTGGCAACCAGTATTTATATCCTGGGTATGTGATGCTAGGACCGGATAAACATATTGCACAGAACACTCTGCTGGGGGGACCCAACGGATCTGGGTGGGAATATTCATCTGATCTCAGGAAGCTAAGCAGGCCGGACCTGCTTCAGAGCGGAGCTCTCGTTTGTCTGCCCAAGGGCTGGGAGCTGCTGCCAGTCAGAGCTGGCAATACTGGCCAAGATGCGCTGATGCTCTGCTCTAGAAAAGCCATGCTGGCTGGGGAATTCTGGACGTCTTCACATCTTAAAAGTTATCAAGTTTGGAAAACATTGCTCTAAATGCGTTCCAGTTAATCCAGATAGCTAAGGATCTCCTTGACTCGACTAATCCAGCTGAGCAGTGCTGCCAAGAGAATACTTTGCCCCCAGCACGACCCCTGGACACTCCCGGCCTCGGAGCCTGGCCTGTGGAGCCACCGAGATGCTGCTTTCCCTTGGTATGCTGACCGTTGCCTTCCCTTTCTTGAGGCACCGTGAGTGCAGTCAATTCAAGGAGAGAGCAGCCAATTCAAGTCAAATGCCAAAAGAGCAAACAAAACCCTGCAGACCCGCTTGGCAGTCAAGTCCAGTGGTAAGTGCAGGGGCAGGGAGGGCCCTGGCCAGACACATGCCAAGACAAAAAGCAGGCAGGGAATCCGCCCTTCTTGACCTGTGTGGATGCCCACCAGAGGACCAGGTTTGGCCACCCTGGAGACAATAAGTGGGTTGCCACATTAGGTGAATGAATGCTTGGATGCACCTAGAAAGAGTCACCATTGTGCTCCCTCCAGCTGCCAGAGACCCGGCTCACCTGGGCACCTTCCTCCATGGGAGCTTCTCACTGTTTGCTACACCCTCGAACTGCTTCCGTGCTGGGCACGGCTCTTCATCTGTCAGCTCTGTTATGTCTTCAGTATTGCGGCTACCACTTTTAAACCCCGGCTCTGCTGCAGGCACGTTCAAAGGAGCAACACTTTCCCTGGCCTTGGGAATCTAACAAAATATGACAGGCCCCAGTGTCCTATTTTTTCCCTTAATAATCTCTCCCTCCTTTCTTCCTTTCTCCACTTTCGACATCAAAAGGCATTACTCTGCAGCAGAAGCTGAGGACAAATGGCAGTTCTGGCAAGAAGGAAAGGAAAACAATAACTTTTTCCCAAGTGGGGATTTGAGAAACAGACCCTGTATAATCGACCACTGATGACTGCCCCTCGAATGCCATCATCCCCCTCCGAGCAGGAAGCAGGAAGAGAGGAACAAAAATCAATTTAATGGAGCTGGGGGGTGGGGAGTGGAGGACATGCGTAACTTTCTCCAAGAAACAGTCAAATTTGGAGGGAGCTGGGAGTAACGTGAAGTTTTTGCTCACCCCACTTTTACAGAAAATCAGATGAATGTTTATTGGAAGAGAATAAGATGAGATTGCAGAAATTGATTTTTTAGAATCCAATTCCTCTCCCACGTTCTGCAGGGGATGCCTCCTTGGTCTCTTTCTCCCGGCCCGGCTCATGGGTGAACTGGCCAGGAGGCTTTAGTGGACAAAGCTCTGGCTGGCTGGAACAGGGCTCTCTGTTCTCTCTGCAGGGACAGGGTAAGGGTGACGCCACAGCACCCCAGGAATGCAGGCAAATTTCTTTCTTTCGAAAGCAAATAAACCAGCCTGCTTTTGAAGCACTCGTATCACCTGGCCTGACACTGGCAGCAAGCTGACAAGCAGGTCATAGGCTTAAGTCAGGGCAGGAAAATGGCCTCGGCCTCACTGCAAAATCCTCTCCCTGTAAATAAATCTGTTTGGATCCCTGGCAAGAACATGATCTCCCAGCCTGCTGACCAGGGGGTGGAGGGAAGGAAAGGGAGCCGGGAAAGCAGCCTCAGAAAGGCAGAAGAGCCTCCCTGAAGTAGATCTCACTGTACGGCTTGTTCAGTGCTCCTTTCCCCACTTCTTGGTTTCGTTGAACGTGAAGATAGCAGGACGTGAGCTAGTTGGGAATTCCTTGAGCCAGAAAGGCTCGTCTTCCTGAAAAGAGGCCCCGATCTTTCCCTGCTACCTCCGCCAATTCTTCCCTGGGGCCCTAGAGAAACTTTTGGGGCCCAGCCTCCGTGGGGCTGCAGGAGAGGCCTGGCCACACCCCAAGGCCTCATTCTGCTGCTGCCCAGCCTGTCAAGTTCTCCAACAGCAGACGAGGGCAGCAGCCTCTGTTAAATGCTCCGGCTGCTTCTACCCGATTCCTGGACAGGTCACAGAGGAAACATCTGATCCTACACGAACACGGTAGGCAAATGACTGAGCTCAGCTGCCACCTGTATCCACAACCACAGGGCCACACTGTGAATTAAGTAATCTAATGAGCACCGTAATAATAAAGTATTTATTGCACATAATGAAGTGTTAGTGATTAGAAAGGCTGGGTGTTCTGCGGCGGTTTCTCCTGAACCCGTGCCAGTGTCACTCAAGGCAGCCGCCGCTGCTTTCGAAGCTAGTCCTGACTTTGTTTTGATTGACATGTCAGCCATCAAAGCTGCGGCTCCTTTATATCACTCTGTAATTGACTGCTCTCTCGAGGGGCAGAGAAACAGAAAGACAAAAGGCTGAAGGAAAACCGAGAGCTCCTTCGGAGAAATCCTCCGATGAAACACGCCGCTTTGCTGAGAGCCAATTTTGGAAGCAAAGGGCACTTTGTAAATAGGCTGGAATTTAAAGACAGCTTGTGTTAAACACAACAAGAAAGCACAATTTGCCCTCGTGCGCTTCCTTTGTCACGTCAATGAAAACACTTTCCTGCTCCCTCGGGAGGCTCTTACACAAATAATGACAAGGGAAAGGGTAAACAACAGCAAAGCCCCACCAACGCTCTCCGGACCCTTCGCAGGGAGGAAAAGGGCCGGCAGCTGCTCCTCCTTCTCCTGCCAAGAACCTGCTCCAGCAAAGAACCTTCTGCAGAGCTGCCCACTCGCGCCCTTCGCTGGCACGGTCCAAAGGGGCCTCAGCTGAGCCTGCCTCCCACAACCCACAGAATCCCAGGGCTGGAAGGGACCGGGAGATCTTCTAGTCCAACCCCTCCCAAGACAGGAACCCTCATGCCACCCCAGGCAAACGGTGAGCCAATCTCTGCTTGAAAAACCTCCAGTGATGGAGCACTCGGGATTCCAGGAGGCAAGCTGCTCCGGTGATTAAATGGTTAGAGAAATGCCCACTACTGGAGAAGGGAGGCCGGTTTTGAACCCTTCAGATGAGAGCCGCCCTCAGCAGCAACTCGGGGAGCCGCAAGTGGAGCAGGCTGGCAGAGGAGCACAATAAGCCAGAGCGGGCTGGCTGGTCTTCCGTTGGCAATATGGCCCTCTTGGCAGGCATCTCTCCTAGGATGAGACACTGCAGGAGATGCAAGCTGGCAGCTGTTGTGGAGACGGTTTTGCGTGTCGCAACTTTTATTTCAATGAAGCAGAACGGGAGTGCCAGAGCTAGAAAATGGAAGCTGGGGCTATCTTATTCAGTGAGCCCCCAAGGCTGGAGCATCTCTCCAAGCTGACCGGATCTCTCCTCTACTGGAACGTTCTGCTCACTGGCTCCCTCAGAAGGAACAGCTATAAAGCCATCCTGTTCAAGACAGGCAAGGGCGGCATTTCTTGAAGATGGCCTTTTCTGGCTCCTACTCATCTTGGGCTCCTGCTGGCTCCCACCAGTTAGCTTGGAGTAAAGATCTACTCAGTTCTGGAACATCTGGTGATGTTTCTCCACTGCCCTGAACTGCTCAACACTTAAACCATGATGTCCCAGGAAGGATGCAATTCTAGCGGGATTCTTCCTAAGGTGAAGGAGTACCATAACCATCGCAAGGCTGGGTGAAGTGTAGGAAAAGGGAAAAGTTGGAAGATTTTCTTCACCAACAGCAGAATGCAAAACTTAACTTACATAAAACAAGACACTTACATGACTCCCAATCACATTCCACTTTCTCACACTCGTTCAGAGTTTAGACAAAAAAAAATAGATGAACTAATATTCATTATTTACATGGCCATCGGAAGGGTGTTTTAAAAATATGAAATTAGTGTCTTTTAATATCCAATGTGATTAAAACCCAGCAGGCTTTTTTTATGTTAGCTGAGTAAGGACTGCTTCTGCTTCGTGAGAGGACGTGCCATTTAGGAGTTGAACCAAGGTGTTTTGTTTCTGTCTTTCCCTGGCCACATTTTGAGTGAAATTCACAAGATCATCAGTTGCTTGTATTTCCCCAGTATTAGGCAAGGCCTATTTGGGGAAGCACTTTCCCTGGTATCTGCACGCTGATAGCAAGAAATGTGCATTCTTCATGCACGTTTACTTTTCCAGCCATTTCTATTTATTTATTTTCTTTCAATTCTAAATCACATTGTGACCATCACTGATGCAAGCAAAAGGCTCTCAGAAATGAGCTTTTTAACCAACATGCCACACATAAACAGTAACCCTGGCTGAGAGGAGATGAACAACAGGAGAACGGTTCTGGCTATGCCTACAACTGCTAGGATTTTCACCTGGTATTTCATTTTGCAGACGCAAATGCCCTTCCTTTTTCCTACACCATCAAGGTTGATAGAGGCTTCCGGGCATAAATATCCTGGTCCAATTCTCGGCTCTCCACATCCTGCCCCCAAGCAGTTCACAACAAGAGAACTGCTGTGTTATGCCTTTCATCTGCTTTACTGGGGCGCTTCCTCTGCGATACAGTGGATGCATCAAAGCTCCATCCATCCTGGAGCCACGATCTCAGCATGTGGCACAAGGTTTATGTTGCTGCAGCAGTGAGAGACCTAGCAACTCAAGGGAGATGTGGGGGAGACCCACTAGCAACTACTTTAAGGGTCACCTAACTGCAAGATGCAAATCACCCCTTCCCTGAAAATCTGTTAAGACCAAAACCCACTTAGAGGGTTTCTTGCCTTTTCCTATAAAATAAAAAATCACGCACCATCAAAGGTAAACAAAAATACAAATCTGTAACTCTGACCAAATGCAACATTCAATTGGAAAAAAAGATCAAATTTCCGGTAACGTTACTTTGCAACTTGGAGTGAAGGAAGTAGCCCCTTCCATTCCAGCCCACTTACCATTTCTGCATTAAACTCGGGAAGCATGATGCAGGTGGCCCCCACCCAGAGGGGACACAGCAGCTTGTTGACCACCCCATGGACATGATGCAAGGGCAGGACATGGAGAATGACATCATCATTTGTCCAGGCCCATTTTTCAACCAGCCCGGTTATCTGCAAGGATAATTAAGCAACATTCAGTATTAGGGGGGAAAAGCAGAATTCCACAGATTGATGCTGCTATTGAACCAGAGATTGTTTCAAATGGGGTTACGTTCTGGATTGTAACCACAATTTTTAACTGAGGCCCAATGCGGAAGACCAACTATCAACTCACCATAGCATGGACATTCTGGTGACTGCTTAGGACCCCCTTGGGCCTCCCTGTGGTCCCACTGGTGTAGATGATCATGGCCCCTCTGTTCTCCCACTCTGAAATAGGGCAACCGGCATCTTCAGCAGATCCATCCATTGTCCCTTCCCACTTTCCAGACTGGGGAAGCGAGAGCACAGGCACCCCCAGTTTCTCAACAGTCGGGGTAATTTTCTCCTCAAACTCTTCCTCGGCAAGCAGAAGGGCACTCTGGGAGTCCTGGATGAAGTATTCCAGTTCTGACACAGGATGCTTTCTGTACAGAGGCACAGCAATAGCTCCACTCATCCAGGTAGCCCACTGGGCAACGATATAGGAAGCATCGTTGGGGCATAAAAATGAAATCCGTTCACCCTTCAGGTCACCATCTGAGTTTCCAAGGGCCTTGCAGATTTTCTGAGAGAGGTAAAGACTTCGAGTGTACAAATCTTTGTAGGTGTGTTCTCCTCTTTGATCAATGATGGCTATCTTTTCTCCAAAGGCTGACGCTCTGGTGAAGACAGGGGCAACTTTTCTGTAAGCCGATATCCATCTGGCAGGCAGTTTTGTGAGAGGACAGAAATGAGTGCGGAGGCCGAAACAGTCACGTCCTAGAAGAGGCTGGCAACATGAAAAAGCATGGATCATGTGCCTCCTCTGAAAAAGCAGACAGGAGCCTAACATTTTCTGGTATTCCTTGGATAAAAGTAGTGCTGAAGAAAAGAAAGGGGAAAACTAAAATCATTCCAAACACTAGAAAAGAGATGCAATATATAGGAAATGGAATCTGTTTTCTTCTATGATGAATATTGAGGAGATAATGTAAGATCCAGGAAGAATTATAAAGAAACAGGGACTAAATATTAAATGAATTTGAAAATTCATGAATTTGCAAACCACAAAGTCACACATTAGATACAACTCCAGCTTAAGCCTGCATTAAGTGAAGAAAAGATAATAGGCCTGTTTGCAGAGAGCCGATGAATATATAGTATTATTTCCAAACAGCTCAACATTACAATAAAGCTCATACAAAATAAACTTCTGAATGCATTACGGAATAAGGCATAGTCTTGTTCCAAAAACATAACTTTCGCCAGCTAAGTACAAACCACCCAAACTTTTCTTTTTCTTCTAAGCTAGAAAACAAAACCTTTTTTGCACAGATGCATCAATCTTCCCCAGTTTTCAATGCCCACTGTAATAAGTTGACTGTACTTAGGAAAAGCTTTTAACTAAATATACCATTAAAAAACACTTCCAGGGTAGCACATTTCTTTTGTTTCATTTCACACATTCTTCCCTGGAAGCACAGATTTTTTTTTTTTTTAAAAAAAAGCCTATGCATTGTGTATGAGTATGGCTGTGAGCAAAAGCTAACCTCATCTTCTCTAAAGGTCTCTCAAAACAATTTCTGGCTGATGGATGTAGAGGTGGTAACCATTACAAAAGATGCTAATTGGAAGTCCACAAAATCACACATTCTTCTGTGAGACAAAATGCTGCACTGGAGTGGTATCCTCAAAGGGTCTTCACCTTGTCCTCTACTAGTGTGTGTGTGTGTGTGTGTGTGTGTGTGTGTGTGTGTGTGTGTCTCAAGGTCACAATTTTGGATCACTTGGCACCAATCTGTCACTCTTTCACACACATTCTCCCTTTGGCAGGCTGCTTCAGAGAGAAATTTCATGGCCTCCAATGTTTGCCTGTTGCGGGATTTGAATTCACTGGCAGCCATCGAGAGAGGGTATATTACTCACCATTTCTATAATTTAGCCAGTTTCCCTCACTTATCAACCACCAAAATGTGCTCCAGATTTCAGCAGCTACATCCGAGTAGAAAAAGTGCCATTAAGGCTGAATTGTCACTCTGGCATACACAAGTACAGACACACTGGGTATGTATGGCTAAAAATCTAATAATGATGATCATAGAATCCTAGGGCTGGAAGGGGCCCTGGAGGTCCTCTAGTCCAACCCCCTGCTCAAGCAGGAGACCCTGTAACCACTCCAGACTAGTGGCTGTCCAGTCTCTTCTTAAAAGCCTCCAGTGATGGAGCATCCACAACCTCTGGAGGGAAGCGAAGTTCCACTGGCTGACTGTTCTCACTGTCAGGAAATTCCTCTTTACTTCTGGATTGTATGATGTTGGTGTTGTTGTTGATGATGACAACGATAGAGACGCTCGTGCCTTGACCGCAGGCACCCGAAAGCAAGCACACCCCCTTCGGGCGTCCCTTCTCAAATCCCGAGGGCGGCGAAAACCCCCCCCCCACGTTCTCAACGCCTTTGCTGCAGCGCTCTCTGTCCCTGGCCCTTCCTGCCTTCCCCGACGCGCCGGACTACACGCCCCATCGCCCACCGCCGCGGAGGGGCAAAGGGCCACCGCCGATCCCCTAGCCTGCTCCCTCCGCCCGACTCACCGCAACGAAGGGCCGGCGTCGCGCACGCGGCCTACTGGTCCGTCCGCGAATGGCGTCCCCCCGGGAACCAGAGCGCGCCGCACGAGTTCCGTGGGGGGTTGAGGTCATTCACCCCGCCCTCAGCCTCCTGACGTCATAAGAGCCCTCTGTGACGTCTGCTTGTTGCGTCATCCGTGCCAGGACCAGAAAGTGGGCGAGGCTTGGTGCCTGCAGGGCCCTCCGCTGATTGACAGGAGGGCCTTTTGACGGGCAGGGAAGCAGAGCCGCCCAGAACCCCTGGAGGAGGGTCTGGCTGGCATCCCCTGAGGCCCAAGGGAGGCTGTGGGCTGCTTTTCCTGGCCTGGGTCTGAAACGTCCTGGCCTGACCTCTGGGCTTCTTGACAGGTCCAGCACTGGGGAAGCTCTTGGGAATGAGATCTCCCGAGTCCCGTTGTTCTTCTGCATTGGAGTTTTCAAATATGGCTCCGTGCAAAGTAACCACTTATCTATCCTCTGTTGCATGTTTCTCCACCTTGGCATCTTCTGAGAGTTGAAATTCACACATTTTATAGTCATCAAGATCGACAAACAGTAATATATAGCAATAAACAGGCTATAGAAATATATTGAAAAGATGGCTCTGGCTCTCAAGCACTGTTGAAGCTCACGGGGTGACAAAGGCTAAACATTTTCACAGGACGATATTCTTTCGAACTCCATAGACAGGAAATTGAATTGGATAATTGACAATGTAAATGGATTCTCCGTGCTCTTATTATGGCCAAAAGGCCAATACAACATTGCAACATTGGAAAGTTAAAAGTATAGCAGCCTCTCTCAACCAATGGATTGAAGTCCTGATTGCATTCTTACCTATGAGTGGAGACATAGATTTTGTACAGATAAGTATGATGAAATATGGAACATGTTTATATAAAATACAGTAGGTTAAAATATATAAATGCATTAGAAATTAATGTGTATGGACTGTACTTGAATAATATTTACATTAGATAAATAAATAGAATCGTAACTTAAATGCTACAATCATACACTTTGTTTTTTCTTTTTTCTGTTGCATTCACTTTTTTAAAAGCATTTTTACATGTAGTTTTTGTGTGTGTGTTTGAATCACAATTATCTCTTTCTTTTGTTTCTTTTTCTTTTAAAGCAATAAAAAAACAATTAAATAAGCACCATTCTTCCTCTTTCCCTGATTGCTAACCCACCTCTTTCTGGTTAAAGGGTTTATCCAGACCATTTGCTAGAAAGCCTCACCATCCCCCACCTCATGTCTTATGTCCACATTCCAGCTTTCATTCAACCAGGTCCCTGTCAATGTCTGACTGCTCGTGGAAGAACAGAACAGCTTGTAACCCTGACTCTGACAGAGACCCCCCAGGCTCAGAAGTGGAAGCGCCAATTAAGCAGCCCCAAGAGCCTTCCAGCACAAAGACCCCGTGATCTTTAAGTCAATGTCATCATTCTCCCCCACCCTCCCAGAGGGAGGCATACTGTCTAATAGATTTGAGACTGCCAAACCATTGTTGTTTCACACACCTGTGCTAACTCTGTGCACTTGAAGGCCCTCTGGCACCAAGCCTCATCTTCATCTTCGCCTCCACAACCAGAAGGCATCAGAAGAAGAATTTCCCGTTCCAGATTAAAGAGGGAAGGCGGCAACTCCAAATATCCTGAAAAGCACATCTTATGGCCGAGCAGCTTAGGGGGTACAACCCTTCTAGCTTAGCCTCTCAGACATTCTTGTTTTTATCTAAACTGTGAGCCTTTCCTATATCTGGACTCGGTGCTCCAGCCCGGGGCTGGGAAAATAGCGGAGATCCACCCCAGGTCTCGCCACACCACTTTCTTCCAGACTTGTGCTTCCCGCGTAATGATCTCCAAAGTGCTGAGGGCAGCAGATTGCACCTTCTGCTCCACTAAATCCCCAGGGGAATCTTTCTCGCAGCTGTTTGGAGACACAGCACACTGCTCCATTAAGAGGACCTTCCTCTCTGGGTCACTGGCCATCCATCGGTAAGCCAGCAAGAGAACAAAGACGGCTGCTGAAGAAGGTGGGGGCACCATCCCTCCCCCCCCATATTCTGGGACTTGGGGAGCAAAGTGCCTGTAAATGACAAACGCTCAGCCTTCCTCAGACAGACAGGCAGACAACCTGAACATTTGCTTCTGGCAAATGGGCTCTTTAAGGGAAGAGCATTATTCAGAGCAATGGCCTGCAGTATCTGAGGCTGATTTCCAAAGACTGTTGGAGAGGGGTGTGAGAGGGTCCAGAAAGGCAAATAGATCATCCTCCACCACAACTTCTCTCCTGGATGCCCTCTCTCTTCCGAGCAGCTCTGACTGGGCTCTGTTTCCCTTGGGGAGGGTGGCTGGTGGGGAGGGGCTGAGGAGGTGGTCCAGAGGCAACCCAGATCTAAGCGCTTGGGGGGAAATTTCAGCAGTCTGAACTGTGCTGGGAAACAAGCTGGTGACCAGGCAGCCTTCCAAGACTCTCTGCCTGGAAGATCTCCACCATTCCTGCAGCTGCACAGTGGGTCAGCTGCAGTTTCTGGAAACTCCCTTGACCCTCCTGGCTAGGAATGATGAGAGCCGGCTTCTATCGCATCTAGAGGGCACCACAGGCAGGGCGGAAGCGATGGGTGTGTGGATGCTCGCCAGGCTCCCATTGAAAGCAACAGCCACCTTGGAGATCCACAGTGAGCCCTGCACCGGGAAGGATGGTCCCACGTCCGGCAGAGAGCAGCAGTGTGAAGTGCAAACTCCAGGCCCCATGGAATACCTTCAGATCAGCCAAGCAAGGAGAGAGAGGAGTTTCAAGGGCTGTTGGCGCTGCTGAACGTGCCTTCACTGGCTTTGGGTCTGTTTGGGTCTCCACACCCAAAGCCCCACCCACTTTTCTTAAGCAAGCAGTGCCAGGGCAGCACCCGGGATTCTCGGCTTCTAGGCCCTTCTGCTTAATTTTTTTTGAAAGGGGAGACCCATTTGCCATCCTTAGCTAAATCTCTCTCACACTTTCTTGAATACAATTTCCTTTGCTCTTGTTCTCCATCAGAATTTTTCTCTGCCTGTGCATGCAAGCACACACGTGTGTGTCAGAATGATGAGGGTGCTCTATTACTTTCCCAGGATGCTGTGGCATGGCCACCCCATCCCGCTCTGCCTCTGCGTGGCTCTCTTTCTGCCACCATTGTCCTTGTCATGCACACACAGACACTGCAAAAGGAAAATGATCCCATTGTTCCAAGCGTCACTGGCCCAGCGGTGTTGCCGCATTGCATCGGGCAGACTAATTCTAAAGTTAAGGGAGGAGAGAGTCTCATAGATCTTGTCGACAGGTAAAGACATAGCCTGCTGTCCTCTTTCTTCCATTTTGGAGGATAAAAAGTCAAAGCTTTGGCTGCTGCCACCCAGCCCCAATGAGAAGTCACCATGGACTGGATCTGGGTGTGGCTGGGTGTCCTGCTCCCACCCGTTAGCCCCCTTGCACCTGCTCCCATCACTCACAACTATCAATGTGTACATTAACAATATATCTGAAGCTGTCCATTGCTGGTACGTTGCATTGCATTTTAAACAGTGTACAGTGATAGTACAGTGTAAAGTTTCAAGGAAGACTCTGATCTGTTACAAGGACGTTTGGGACTTCTCTGGGAATAAGAGAGGGCTTTGGATCCTTGGAGGGCCTTTGAGGCTCACATACACACACACACACACGCACAGAGAGAGAGAGAGAGAGAGAAAACCATAATGTGGAACAGCTTTCCACCACAATAATTATTCTTCCAACCTCCTGCAGAGTTTGCCCCCTTCCTTCCTCCCAGGCTATGTGGGTGCAGGGGAGATGGCCCATCTAGTAGGGGCAGGCAGGGCCGGCTCCAGAGGGATCCACCCACCCCACAGGTGGGATTTTCTATCCGCCTGCTGAGCAGCTAACTGTGGCCCCAGGGATGCAATCTGTTAAACTGGGCTCTCACACTGCCCCAAGGAGCTGTGCAGGCGAGCCCTACAGGGCAGCTAGTGGGCAGTTTAATCCGATTAATTGGAGCCTGCAATTGATTTCTCACTAGGCCAGGGAGCTGATGCCCCAGGGAGGCAGGTCAGGGCTTGGGCAGAAAGGCCAACAGAGGGCAGCCTCAACCCCTAATTCTTGGGTTTGGCTCAGGAAAGAAGCTCCGGGCTGCCACTTCCTAATCTCTAACCTGGGGAGAATTGTGGATCAGAGGAGGGGCATCATTTTGACTGCAAGGTTCCCAAAGTCAATTCTGCATTTCCTGGGACAGAGGTGATGGCAAATGCCACTTCCGCCACACCCTCCTCCTTGCCACTGGACCGACCTTGAACTACAAGGCTCTGAGACAGGACAATGGAATATCCCACTCCTCCAAGAGATGGAAATCTTTCTCAGTTCCCTAAAACATCCCTATGTACCTTTGAGCTTATTTGTGCATCATAGAAGGCTAGAGCCACTTTTGCAAGATAATTTTTAGGATGTTAAATTCTGTCTTTAAAACATTTTGTATTTTTACACATTGTGTTCATGGAAAACCTGGTGGGTGGACTGAGAGAAGCCATATGTTAGGTTCAGTCTTGGCCTCAAAAGGAGGAGGGGAGTTGTTTAATTGGGAATGGGATTTCCTGGTGAAATCCACCCCCACCCCTCCCAATGCTGCCAGGCTCAGTTTATTCCCAGCTGAGTCTCTGGCTCCCTTGGCCCATAAGGCTGCTCTCCTACATGTGCAGGACTGTTAAAAGCTCAATCTTCTTAATGTGCCCAGCTAAGTGGAAGCACTGACCTGACCTTGGTTGACCTCAAGAGCCAAGTAGTTAGACTGCTTAACTCTTGGATAGGAATTCCACCAAGAACTCTGGGATGGAAATCCTAAAGCCCCCCTGGGAAAAAAGTGAGAATATTTGTAGCTCAGGGCTGACATGAGGGGTCCTTGGTGCTCTCTGAGCTTGGGAAAGGCAAGGACCAGCCGCTTCCCAAGAAA